CATGGAGCAGGAAGCTATTTTTAAATAATAAAAAAATGATTGATTTATTTATGTGCATATGTGTCTATGTTTGTGTATGCTATGCTGATGCCAATACTTTCATAAGCTAGAAGAGGGAGTTGGGTTCCCTGAGCTGGAGTTGTGAGCAGGTGGTTATGAGCACTAGATATGGATTATAGGAACTGAACTCCCATCTTCTGGAAGAGCAGCAAATGCTCTTAACCACCGGGTTATCTTTTCAGCCCCAGAAGGTCATTGTAACTACTTCCTTGAAACCAGTGTTTACTGAAGACTGCCTTTTCTACTAGATAAACAGCTCCAATTGTATAATGCTAGAACATGTGAGGAAATTAAAAGGGAATGGGGTACTTTTTATAAACTCTTAATATATTGGCATCTAACCATGCTGGTAAGGTATGGAAGGACTTCATTTTTATTCTTTGAAGAAATTGAATTATTTTGTTCTTATTGTTTGAGACAGGCATTCACTACATAGCCCAGGCTGCTTTGGAATTCACTATGTAGCCCAGGACGAGCTCATACTCATATCAATTCTCCTTCCTCAATCTTCCACTCTAGGATTGCATGTGTGAGTCACCCTATTCAGCTTACAGCTCAACACCCTCCCCCTCTTCTGCTCTCATCTTCCCGCTCTGTGCATATTTCAGGTATGTTCCATGATCTGGTTCATACTTCTGGCTTGAAATATAAAGTCAGCTAAATAAATGTCAGCAATTTTAAACTTGTTCATTCTCTTGTACTTTTTTCTCACAAATTCAGCTTTTATGCCCCCTTTCTGTCAAATACTGGATCCTTCACCAATGTTCCATGAGGAAGAAACAAAAGCAAAACAAATGAAAAACTGAAATCAGAATCACTAAATGTTATCAAGGAGGGAAACAAAATAAAATCAAGAGCCATCAGCAAGAGTACAGCCAAAAAAAAGTGAAAAGAAACTGAAGATTCCTAAAAAACTATGTTGAAGCTCTTATATCAGCAAAATACTCCTTCATGGAGTGGAACAGAAGCAGATCTTTTTCCTGCTAAGGTACTAGAAATACACATTCTTTTTGAGTGTTGTGGAAAGGCAAATGTGTCTGTAATGGTAATTCTAATCAGTTTCTACAGAGTGACTCAGGAACACATTTGTGGATTTGGGAGATGATATACACTGTAATTCTTTGATTGAGATAGTGGACACTCTAGAAAAAAGTGAACACAGAAGTACAAGACAAAAGTGAATAAATCTTCTCTTATATGTTAGAAACATTTACATGGAATCAAATTTCAGTGCAGTCACTCTGCTTTGATGAAGCTTTGCTTCAGCTCCTGACCTCAACTGCTTGACCAGTCTCCTGTGAGGATACTTAGAAGGTGTCTTCTTGAACAGCAAATCTACTTTTAGTGATGGAGCTACTCTTTATAGTGTCTTCTTGGGATTGATAACTAATGGCTATCTTTGGAGAAAGTCTTAACCTTTCCTTGTATACCCTTTGTATGTGTGTGACTGCTTCTCTGTTTTCACACTCAAGACTCCATAGTGGTATTTTATCACCTCTGACATTAACAAGAGCATCACATACATCATCACTAGAGTCATCAGAAGATTCTCTAATAAGGCACAGCATAGTCTAGCCCCAAGTGACCAAACTCACTTCATCTCTGTGTTTGTTTCTCATTTTCCAACATAGGCATTTAATTACTAGATAGCTAGATAAGGTTGTATAGAGTCCCAAAGTCTTCCACAGTATCAAAATTAGAGATCAGTTGAAGGCTTGCTTGCTGAGTTTTTATTTTTTATCATATTTTAATTTATTTAAATATTTAATATGGTGTAACTTTCTGATTAGATTCTGTTTTTTTTTTCCTCTTCAGTAAATGGGGAATTAGAGACAGGCGTGATTCCACAGTTATCTTTGATGTCATCTGGTTATATGTGTTAAGATTTATTTCCTTTTCTTTCAAATAATTCTGAGATTAAGCTGCTCTATTGCTCTTAATATTCTGACGGCATGGGACTGAAGAGAGAGCTCAGTGCTTAAGCGCACTTGCTGTTCTTCCAGAGGACCCATGTTCAATTCCCAGCACACATGGTGGATCACAACTGTCTGTAGCTACAGTCCCAGTGAATGTAACCCCCTCTTCTGGCCCAAAAAGGCACTGTAATCATGAGGTACACAGACACACATACAAGCAAAACACTCATACATATAAAATAAAAATGAAGGTTAAAATATTTTGATAGCATTATGTAAGAATTTTATTGACTATATAATTTAATACAAAGATAATTTGTATCTGTGAACTGAATAGTATTATGCTATCAGTAACTACTATATACCACACTCAGTGGTACCAACATAATATCTTTAAACTCTGAAAAGATCTAATGCATTTTTAATTTTATTGAAGGTGGAAGAATACTAGATTATGCTCATTAATATTAAGCAGTTTTCTTATTGCCTTCTATGTACACTGTCATATTCTCTATATTTATTTAATTCCTTCTTTCTTTTACAGTATTTATGTGACATTGATACCTTTATTTCTCATGGTGCTAGATAAAATATTTAGTTCTCCATAATTAAAGACTAAGATTTCAAAGATTTTTTCTTATACAAATGATGTTTATAATATTTTTAAGACATGCTTTAAAAACTTTATCAAGAAAAGGAAGGTCCCGTAGTTTCTACTTTCAAAGACTCAGAACATAGTCCACAGCATTTCCCTGTGTTACATCATTATGACACCTTTGGGGATTTTTTCACCATAGCCATTTTAAACTACCCAGATCATATAATAAATGACAATATTGCTTCATGTTTTATTTTCAGGGAGAGTCAAGTCAACCTAAAACCCATACTTACTTGAACATTATTGGTGGAACCCTAATATTAAAGATGAGCTTAAACAAACAATCCTACATAGGGGTGGGGTGCCGCCTTCAGCTTTCTCTTGAAATGGAATGTACATGTCAGAGTGGAAAAATAAGCTGCTGGGTGCATCCGTTCCCCAGAGTTCTCACAGAAAGCCCTACTGACTGTCATCTGTCCATAGCACATCTCATAGTGACTGTTTTAATAAAAGGGACACAGCTGATTGATACTCAGATACCCCATGTAATCAGATGATATTCTTTCTACACTGGCTGTCTTTATTTATATGTCCTCTACTTTCTTTAGTGAAGGATGTGGGAAACTTTAAAGTAGCTTTAAAATGAACCAACGTGGTCATTGCTCATTTGCTTGGTCATATGTTCTGCACAGTATACTTCTCTTTATTCTTGACTTCAGAGTCATTTTATTCTGTCAAGATATTTTTGTTTTTACTTCCCTTTAATTCCTTTGCTATTTTTAAGTATTTAAGCAAAGAAATATACATTGTAGATCTTTATTACATCAGACAGTATATTTCTTTTAACTTTAATTAGCTGAAAATTAGTAAAGAGAAACAAATAGAAGAGTACTGAGGAACACCATGGCAAATGCACACTATTCATCATTTTGAGCACCTGATAATAATGAAGAATGTTATTTTGATAATAATGAAGAATGTAATTATTTTATTTTAAAGTATAGCTAACATAAATGTAAGCTAATTGCTGCATTTCACAGGGAGTAGAAGCCAAGATTGTCCTCAGTAACTAGGATAATTTTAAAAGATCATGACATATAACTTTGCTGGTTCTAAACACATGAATGTGTATGCTTGAAAATCAAGAGATTATATGATCCAGAGGAAGAAAAATCAATATGTTGAAGAGACACCTCCATTCAATGTTCATGCATCACTGTTCACAAGTTGACAAAAAATGGAAACCACCTATACATCCACTGAGGGTTGATAAATGAGGAAATATGGCATATATATGTACTGAAATAGATTCCATCCTTTTTAAAAGCAGGAAATCCCAGCATTTGTGATGACTCTCATGAACCTGGATGACATGTTAAGTGAAATAATTCAAACACAGAGCAACATATATGATATTTCTTATACATATAATGTATAAAATTTGAACTTATATAGACAGAATATCTAATAGTGTTTGCTAGATTCTAGTCATGTGGGTTGGACCATACTGGGCAAAGTAGAAACAAAGTTTCAGTCAGGATGAGTAAGTTCTGGAATCTGTTGCATAGCATGGTGACTATACTGAATAACAGTGTATAGAGTACTTGACAGTTTCTAAGACAATAGATTTTAAATGTTCTTATCACCCACACAAAGGTAAATATTTTAGCTGATAGATATCTTAATAATTTGGCTATAGAAATCACTTCATAACATCAGGATGTATCAGAACACTGTATTGCATACCATTACTATATATATATATATATATATATATAGTCAGTAACTCCTCAATAAATAAAAATGAAAAATGAATACATTAATGGAGTTGTACCAAACATTTTCTTTTGCTATTTTACTCATAACCTAATACATTTGTTCTTGTTCTAATTTCATAAAATGTGTCATTATAAAATAATCTAATGCCTCTATGGACTTATCATTCACATTCATATTATTGATTTATATGGGTCATATTTACATATGATGTGAAGTGGTGATTGTGTGTCTCCGGTCTTCTGAGGGAATTACTTAGACTGACTTTATTCTGGAGTAATTGTCTAGGTTGGCTTTGGTTCCACACATGCACAATGTAATTAGGTTTCTGTGTCTGACTTGTTTTGTGAAATATAATGTCTTCCAATTCTATCCATTTAGCTACAAATGACAGGATTTCATTCTTCTTTATGGATGAATAATGCTCCCTTCAGTGAAGTTAATCTCCCGAAGGCATGGAGCCAAGTGCAAAACAAGATAGGATGCTAGGAGAGATTGCCTCAGAGGTTGGCAGCAGTCATCAAGACTTCCTTGCAAGGGGAATTTTCTCACAAGACAGAATTTCGGAATGGTCTCTTGTTGTGTTTCTCTGTGTTGTCATGATTCTTATGCCCCAAAATTGATACCATGATCACAATTTCATTTTCCAGGTGTGATGGAGCCTGCAGCTTCGTGTTTAGCTGGATTCTTCATGGCCTTTCTTCTCTTACAGATCACCATACTCACCGAAGGTAGAGACACCCTCCTTATTTCATTGACTAAATTTGTTCTTTGACAATTCCATACATGCTTACAAGGCATTCTGCATACTCCTCCCCAACCCTCTCTTATTCCTCTTTCACTCTTGTCATCTCCTCTTTTCCTGACATGTCCCCTCCTCAGAATCGTGCTTTTTGCTTTGTTTTGTAACCCACTGATTTTAATAAGGATTGTTTGTGTGGCCACAAGTTTGGGACTATCTGTTGTGTTATGGTGGGATCACATAACAGAAGAAAATGACTGTTTCTGCCTTAAAATCCACCAGTAGCCAATAGTTCAGCATGGAGGAGTAGAGCCATTACTCTTGGGAATGAAAATACTTATACATGAAATACTTATATATCCATGTATTCTTTTTGATAATTTCAAATGAACTATGTACAAGTTTTGCAAATTGCTTTTAAAATATGAGTTTTAAGTAATTTTGTATGAATGTTTTGCTATTCTTTTTACAGTTTTGGAGAATTTCATCTTGTGATCACTTAAAACCACTTTACTTGTGTTCTACTATATAGATCTACTGAACTATTTATACTGCACCATTAAAGAATAATGAAAGATATGTTAAAGAAACATACACCATTAAAATAAGAATGGAAGATTTATTATTATTTCAAGATATTATATACAAATTCAATGTTACCAATTTAAATTATGACATATAAAACTTCACATATGTATAAATATGTGTATGAAAATTTTAGTATTGATCTATCAAGTCACATGCAATTCTGCATCATCCCTTGTAATTTAGTTATACTTTCTTGAATGATTGAGCTTTTTAGAGAGTACTGACACCTTTGTGTGTACATAGAATAGATCCTTCTACTTTGGTGTGGCCCTTACAGGAGCACAATACATAGCATTCCCTTCTGTAGTGAGGTTTCTAAATGGGCAGGTGATACACTCAGTTCATGAAGAGCTTCCATAGATCCTACATGCCTCCAAAATGCTCACTGTTTCTTTTCTCTCTTCTTGTATTCTCCTGGATGTGATAGATTGACCAAACATCATCTTTACCTTCTTGGGTTGAGAATTCTGATCATCAATCATCACCTTAAATTATTTAATTCCTTCCCCCAGTAATTGTTACAGAAGCAGATACATTGAGCATCTCTCTGCACCTAGCTGTTTCCCCATTTTGATCCTCCAGCTGATGCTTATTTTGTAAGGGTTTTAATTAATTATGGGAAATAGTTTTTCAGTTTATCAACTTTTTGAGTTTGTCTTCAGCAGGGACATTGTTTCAGTTTTCACATAATTCTCCCTTACCACATTACTTAGAGTTTTGACAGCAAGAACTCTAAATGTATTAATATATTAATTTTTAAAATTTGTTTTAAAAACTATGTTTATTTGTTATTTGCATAGAGGTCTAACTTTCTAAAGAATTTGATTCAGTGTCTATGCTCAAAATATGGTGATGTAAATGCCAAAGTAGCTAGTGTAGAGATGGGAATACCTAGTTGAATTTGGTTTTGTCTTGGATTTATTGTTTATCTATTTGTATTGAGATATATGTACACGCAGTAAAGTACATTAAGTGTACAACTCAGTGAAGTTTTGCTTATAGGGACATTCATGAATCCATTCTTCAGCTCTAGATACTGAACATTTGTAGCATCCCAAAATGTTGTCTTAACCTTTCCTAGTCAATACTATGCTCTTCTTGCCAAAGTGACCATTGTTCTAACTTTCATTGCCATTAATCACAAATGTTACTGTATTATTTCATTTATAACAATCTCTATAACAGCCAACATTATTCACCATTAATCATTTATGATGACAGGAGTTTGTTCTTTTGGATATGTTTTCAGTATTAGCATTTGAATTTGTTTGTATTATTTTTGTTGCTTTGTGTTTTAGGGTTATTAGGATTAATACTGTCATTAATAATTCTTAAAACAATGTAAACATCTACTAAAAATTTCTGGGCTGTGAACAAAGGTATATGTATAACTTTAGTTGATACTGACACTTTTCCATATAAATAGAGTCCTCTGTCTTATGATCTGTGGCAATGTCAGTCCTTGTCCTGCTTCTTCAACATTGTAATAGGGATTAATTATATTTTAATGAGGATTTGCTTTGCATTTCTCTGATGGCTGATGATGTTGGACATCCTTTAACATACTTTTTTGGTCACTAGGGCATCTCTTTAAATTAAATACATCCCTACTGTTTTCCTATGTTAGAAAATTAGTTTGAATTTTTTTTATAAAATCAGCACCTGCTATCTATTTTAAACACATTTCCTTTCTAAGATACAGTATAGCTATCTTCTAGTCTGTGGCTTTTTCTTTTTGTTCATATTCTGATGTACAGAAATTACTAAATTTCATGAAGTCTGATTCATCAGCTTTTCTCTGATTGTGTTTTTGTCTCTTATCAGCTTGTGTTTACATAGAAGTATTGCTTTTGCCCTAATTGTGTCTACCCACATATGGGACACAGGTAGCATCCATTTGAGAATGAGCACTTCCACAAACTTTTCATCTCTTGAATCCACACCCAATCATAACACCATCTTTCTCCTCTTCCTAGCTATGAGCTTGGATATACAGATTAACATTCAGGTTCCAGATGCAGAAGGGATACTGGTGGAGTGTACTTCAGGAAGGTTGATCCCACCTGTTGAGATGACATGGAGAGACAGCAAGGGGAATATAATTCCACATTCATCAAAACTTGACTCTCAGGATGGGTTATTGTACTTGAAGAGCAGTATTCTTCTGAAGAACAGAACACATGGTCCTGTTACTTGTTCCATTTACAATGTAACTACTAATCAAGAGAAAAAAAGAAGCATTGTCCTACCAGGTATGTTCTTATGCCTTGGTTCTATCAAAGATGAATTGTTTTAATCAAGGATTCAAATTGAGGAGAGAATTAAGTGAAATAATAAGTGTGAAGTTATATTACAAGTTACAAAGTGCTGTAGAGCTGAGCTATTTGAGTTGCTGGAAATCAGAAAAATCCTGGATGCTATGAACAATGTTTTAAAGAAAGTTATTGGGGCTGGAGAGAAGTCTCAGAGATTAAGAGAACTTGTTCCCTATGAGGGCCTGTTTGGTTCCTAGCACTCATACTGGATGGCTCACAATCATCTGTAACTCTAGATCAAGGGGATCCAGTGCCCTCTTCTGGACACGACATGCTCCTGCAGGCATGTGCACATGCACACTCACAGACATCCACTCTCACTCATACATAGAAAATAAATCTTAGAGAAGCTATTGAAATAATTGGACAATAATCTCTCATTCTCTGTTGTATGTTAAGGATTCAAAAGCTGTGACTTCCACATAAATTTCTAGATTCCTATTTCTAGTTTGGGCCCTTGAATATTGTTTATCCTTTAAAATTATCATTTTGTCTCATCTGGAAAATAGCATATAACTTCTGAGGTAAAAGGAAGATTAGAATCTTTCTGTATGTGCCTTTGTAGATAATAGGAGTCAAGGCAACAGGGGAAAGGACATATTATAAATACAAAAACAATGCACCAGGAAGCATGAAAGAGATGGCAGGGGGGCTGAAAGGCTAGGAACAAGAAGATTACACAGAGCGAACCAGGAAATGGCCTCCAGTCCTCAGTCCTATTCCAGATTCTGGAGGGAGAAGTAAAGACAAAGCTTCAACCACAATCAAGCCTGGCAGCCTTATGACAGCCTGGCGATCCTTGCCATTGAATATGCCTGTAGTTCTCATGAGTCCAATTGCAGGGCATTTGATGTATAGTGACTCCTCTTGCATGACAAGACAGTATTGGTGAAAAAAATCCATTTTCTGCTCTCTGTCTCAGAGCAGTGTACATGGAGTCTGAGCTAGCAGTTCTACCCTTCCTGTGTTAGCCTCCATGGTGTTTGCCTTATCAGTGGCCCAGAAACCAAGGAGCAAGGCAACCTTGGAATAAACCATCTGAAATCATCAGCCAAAAGAACACATTCCTCCTAAACCTTTTGAAAAACATTTTGTTAGAGTGATAAAAGTTTCTAATACAACATGTAAATAAAGAGGCAGGATTATAAAACTCAATTATCCATGCAAGAGTGCTGTTGAAGAAGGAAATGTATGCTTAATAGCCCCACTTGATTCTGTACTTTTTACTGTATATGTAGATGAAGGCTGTTAGCTAATGAAACTAGACTCAGAGGAAAAAAACAAGATTTGGAAGTTGTTGGTCCCATAATAGGACAGGAATAGATGAAAGAAAGTTTTTTTTTACCTTGTTAGCAAGGGAAGGCAAGATGGATAAGCAGTTGGAAAACCTTTGGACATTAGTTCAGTTCTTGGGACCCATATGGTGGAAGGAGAGAACCTGATACTAAAATTGTTTCCAAAGTCTGTGCCAAGGAACCACTTAAAATAGCTAAGTTAATAGGAAAAATAGAAAAGATAGACTTATTCAATGGGGCTACTTTGGGGAAAGGGGCAAAGAGATCCAGTGATTTCCCAAGTCCATCTTCAGGAACCCTAAGTGAGATTAAGGTTTAAGGAGATAACTAAGGATGTGTTCATTCAGTTTTGGTGAGTCTCTTTGTGTGAGGGTTCCTGGTATGTAATTTGTACCCTGCAAAATGAATAGCTTGCAGATTGTCCCATGTACAGTGTTTGGACTTTAATATGAGCTACTGTGCACAAAATTTCCAGTTGTGCAATTTCTTCCATGCTAATAAGAACCCTGCAAATAAGAGCAGACCCTTCTGGCTAAAATAAGCCCCAGGTAAAATCTAAGAATCGTGGTCAAGGTATGGTACCACCACAACTGACTCATTATTTTTTGGGTTTCAGTTTTATCCTACAAGGGAGTCTGATGAGTTGCTAGGTCTGTGTGAAATATCTATTCAGGAGAGACAAGTTTCCCCTTGTACTATAGCCTTTTCCTTCTCCCAGTATGAGATCCCTGTGAAAATTCTCATTTCTTTGGGGGCACATTGTTTCAATAGTCTGAGAGTCAGATTGAGAGACACAAATGTCTCCAGAATATAAGGATATTTGGGAGAAAAAGGTGATTGACTGTCTTAACCACAAGTGAATCCTGTGAACTTCAATAAAGACCAGCAGGGCATAATATGCCATGGGTATAATAGTAGCATGAATATTATGGGGAAAATCAACCACTTTCTAATTGGATTTAAAGCTTGCTCCACAGGAAGAAACATATACCTGGTATTTGTAAATCATATAGGCCCCAGGATTAAAACTACTATTATTTTGCTAAATGAATAGAGTGTCAAATTGCTTTTTAATTTGGAATCTTTCTACCCAGAGATTAGTGAAGCTTTGAGATCATTTCAGGGAAGTTTTTGTGCATTGGATATTGGTTAACCACAGGAACTCACAATTGGTCAAAATGTAAAGAATAGGTGTTTTTGGAGTGCTCAACCACAAATGGTGCATCCAAGTCAAATAGTGTTACTCAAATATTTGAGGATTGGTAGACATAAACAGTGCACTGGAATCTGAACTAGACAGGGAGAAAAGAGTGAACCTAGCACTCTGCATGCTGGTCCTGGTACTCTCAGGCCCTACTCAAGTAACCCACTTTGCAGAAAAGGGGCTGCAGAAAACAAGCAATCCACTACACTATATCTCAGGGATTTCTCTCTCTTCCTCCTTTCCAGCAATAAACCACATGTGAAGGAAAGATAGGTCCAGATACTGAGAAATTAACTTATTACAATCCTCAGGTCCTATTCTTGGCCACCATGAATGGAGCTCTGACCATCATGATGTTCACAGTCAGAATTCCCTTCTGCCAAAACTTCTCAGAGTTTCCATATCTGACCCCCCTCCTCTTCACAGCTGCCTCAGTGGCCCTCTTCCTTCCAGGCACTGTGGCAAGTGTCCCTAGACTTCCTGAGTATTTAATCATCCTTCTCTTCAGGTGTTTAGATTATCTCACTTTCAAATAATAACCTACTCTTAAGATGGTCAAGAAAGAACAATTGGAAGTGGGACATGGGCAAGATATATCCTTCAAAAGCATGTCTCTTTTTAACTATTTTATCTACTCATTGAGTAACATTTTTGCCATTTTCAAAAAATCCCATCAAATTATGAATCCATCAACGGATTAATCCACTGACAAAGTAAGAGTCCTCGTGATCCAGACACTTCCCAGTGATTGGATCTGCCAAGTGAGGACTAAGCCTCAGTTGTGAATCTTTTCATTGGAAATGTATATCCAATTCATAACACCAAGTCCTTCTATTCTCTTTCAGATGTCCTCTTCAAACCAGAGTATATGTCATTGATGTCAAACAGACCTTCATGTCCTGTACTATATTTGATTTTTATACTTGTTTTATATTGTCTCAGAGGAATACTTGTTTTTTATCTCAAATGGAAAACATGTGAATTCATGAGAGGTAAAATGTTTCAAAACTATTTCTTCTTCAAGCACAATACTCAAATGTAATACATACAAAATTATTTACCCCAGAACTGTAATGTATCCCAATACTCTTTGTCAAAGAGAGTCTCAAAATCTCCAGAGATCCTCAGGCTAAGCTGCCACCCTTCCTCCTTGTGTGGTTCTTAAGGGATAGCATGCAGCTATCATCACAATTGCTTGCAAGGTCTCAGGATTCCTTCAGAGCTATCGTTACTAATTTCTGTTCACTTTTGGTGTTTGTGGAATCTGTATCATAATAGACTTTTTCTCTTTCATAGGTACTTGTCAGATTTCAGAGTTATTGCTGAAAATTTCTAGGCTTTCTTACATTGTTAGAAAGAGAAAGAGAAACATACAGCAACAAATAACTGGGTTATTCATCTTTCCTAATATTTTCCCAAGTGTTCCTATGTTCTCATGAGACTAGCCTGAGCACTATATACATTAGGGGTGATCTTAATTAAAGGGAGCTAAGACAGATGGTATAGAAGGTACAGGATATGTTTTGAACAGCCTCTTGCAGTGCTGGACATCAGGACATGATGAGTAAGATTCAAAATGAGTAAGAGAAGACACAGGCTAATGACAGGAAAGAACGGAAAGGTTTCCTTTCATTTATCTAACTGACAGTGTCCTCACATTACCATTTTATCAATCTTTTACATGTTATACCTATAAAACATTCAGATAAGCCAGCATGCTCTAGGTCTGTCACCAGGTAGGTTACATTCTACACAATGTGGAGGAGAATAGGAAGGGAGTTCTTCATTCTAGCCTTTATTTGCCCAAAGTCCAAACGACCATAAAATTTTAGCTTCAGAAACTTTACACTTCATAAGAGAAAAGAACTTTTGTATATTCTAGGTTATTATGGATGAAGGATGATATTAACTAGGGGAGTTTAGAGATAATTTCATCTAACTCAAAGGATGAAGTTCATTTGAGAGTTACTGTGAAAATGGGACTTAGCTTCATTAAGAAAAGCATGACTGCACATGATACAATGTGGGCAGTCATGTACACAATGCATAAAGACATCTAACATCCTGAATGTATATTCATAATATGACGGGGAATAGAATAAATAGCTTGTAATCAATATCTTACTAATTTTTCTGAACAACCTCATGAAGTTCTACTTATTATTTCTAGATGAACAAGTTATTAAGGACTCAAGTTTTAGGTAAATTGTTTAAGCTGAATAAATCCATAAATGTAGATCATAAATTGAAATGAAAGTATTTCAAATCCTAGACACTTTGCTCCAACCATGATACTCTTTATCAAGATGTGGACAAGCAAAACTTTCCTTGCATCTTTCAATGGTGGGGTGCCTACTTCTTCACTAGCGAACTTAACTTATTCATTCATTTATTCAACATTAGTGTATTGGATAGTTCTTAAATATTAAGAGCTGTCATAGATATTGATAATAAAATAAAAGAGTGAACAAGAGCTTATTTTGAATAAGAAAACTCTTTTTTCCTTAATTTTCTTTTTGGTAATTTCTGATATTTATGATAAAATATAGTTTTAAAAAACACCAACCAAAAAAAAAACAAAAAAGAAAATGCATATACACATAAAGTGAACAAAGCCAGTATTCAACACAAACCAAAATAAACAGGCACCAACAAAACATAAATTTTTTAGATCTTTTCACCATTAGTGTTCATAGTTATTGGTTTATTTCATGGTATGGTTCAGAATAACTCAGCTATCTTGCTATTTACTTTCTTCTCTAAATGTTCAGCCGATCAATCATTTTTCTAACATCTAGCTCACTATATGGTTTGGTAAGCAGCAGCAATCTGCTGTGAAGCAATCTTTCTCATGCTGTGGTGAGCTTCCTAGAACATACACAGAAGCTCAAACTAAGAAGGGATGAATGGCCAAGCAGCAAGGATGCTACAGAGATATTATTGGGTGCATGGAAGTCATTACAATGGCAGAAGTCTTGGCTTCCAAGGCAGCTTCTCCCCCTTTTAGCTAGTTTTGAGTTTCACAGAAACCCTACTCTATTAATCCTACAACCTTTGTGCACTTAAGCATTGAGACAAGGCTATAGTGAACAGGGTCCCACAACATCCAAATTATATTTTCAGGCTAATTACATGCTGTACACTCACAAGAAAAGCAGGAAGATATTTATTGTTTAATTTTATTTTTAAGCCTGCTCTGTCTTCATGCTAAGTGGCCATTAATCTTAGCTTCACCCAATTCTAAGTTCTATCTCCACTAAAGATTCCTAACTGTTACCCTAACCCTAACCCTAACCCTAAAAATCTTGCTTATGAGGCTTTAGCCCTAATATAGGTTAAATAAACAAATGGATACAGCACTGAGACCTTCAAGAAACTACCTATATTCAGCATTTCTCTTGCTATTCCAGTGCATTCCCAAAGTCCTAGCCTCCTAAATCTTTTTTTAAATTTTATAATTTAATTTAATTTTAAATATCAGCCACGGATTCCCCTGTCCTCCCCTCTCCCCCCCCTCGCCTTCCCCTGAGCCTACTCCCTATTCCCATCTCCTCCAGGGCAAGAACTCCCCTGAGGATTCAGCTCAGCCTGGTAGATTCAGTCTAGGCAGGTCCAATCCCCTCCCAGGTTGAGCAAAGCATCCCAGTATAGGCTCCAGGTTCCAAACAGCCAGCTCATGCACTAAGGACAGGTCCTGGTCCCACTACCTGGGGGCCTTCCAAACAGATCAAGCTAATCAACTGTCTCATTTATCCAGAGGGACTGATACAATTGGTGGCTCCTCAGCTATTGGTTCATAGTTCATGTGTTTCCATTAGTTTGGCTATTTGTCCCTGTGCTTTTTCCAGTCATGGTCTCCACAATTCTCTCTCCTATAATCCCTCCTCTTTCTTGCCAATTGGACTCCTGGGGCTCCACCTGGGGCCTGGCCGTGGATCTCTGCATCCGCTTCCACCAGTCACTGGATGAGATTTCTAGCAGGACCTTTAGGGTGTTTGGCCATCCTAACAGCAGAATAGGTCAGTTCGGGCTTTCTCTTGACCACTGCCAGTAGTCTATTGTGGAGGTAACTTTGTGGATTTCTGGGGACCTCTCTAGCACTTTGCTTCTTCCTACTCCCATGGGGTCTTCATTTATCATGGTCTCTCATTCCTTGTTCTCCCTCTCTGTTCTTGATCCTCCAGAGGTTGTTTTATTGTACAGGATTCTTTTGGCTATCCTGGGTTTTTTGTTTTTCCATATTAAGTTGAGTATTATTTTTTCCAGGTCTGTGAAGAATTGTGTTGGTATTTTGATGGGGATTGTATTGAATCTGTAGATTGCTTTTGGTAAGATAGGCATTTTTACTATGTTAATTCTGCCTATCCATGAGCATGGGAGATCTTTCCATTTTCTGACATCTTCAAATTCTTTTTTTCAGGGACTTAAAGTTCTTGTCATATAAGTCCTATACTTGCTTAGTTAGAGTTACCACAAGGTATTTTAGATCATTTGTGGCTATTGTAAACGGTAATGTATCTCTGATTTCCTTCTCAGCCTGTTTGTCAATTGTATATAGGGGGGGGCTACTGATTTTTTTTGAGTTGATCTTGTATCCTGCTATGTTACTGAAGGTGTTTATAAGCTGTATCAGTTCCTTGGTTGAATTTTTGGGGTCACTCATGTATACTATCCTGTCATCTGCAAATAGGGAAAGCTTGA